TACCATTAGCTAACCAGTGTGAAGTATTTTAGATAAAAGCACTATGTAAAACTCTCTTAATAAACATTTGTTCTATAAATAGCTGCCACAGCCTTGAACGTCCTCCCCATCTCCTTTACTCTCCCCATTGCCCCTACCTACCTCCTATTTCCACCACCTCTCCTTGTCTCCTCCCACTTAACCCCTATCCCCTGCCCTGAAGGCCACCACTTGATCTTACATATGTATCTTCTCCAGGGACTTAGGGAGCCCATGCCTCTGAGCTACTAATCAGGTGGATAGTCCTTCATTTTCTTGTGTACCACTAACCAGGTTTTGGCCATCTGAATGCTCTGCGGATCACAGTTTGAAAACCCCTTAGAGATTCTCTGTTACTATTGAGTAGGGATGGCCTGCCTCCCTTTTGGTAGGTAAATTCTGCTCCCAGCCCTTTTTCATTTACAGGTTGTGGTCTTTGTCATATTGTTTCTCATTTTGCTTTGCCCTCCTTTGGCTTAGATGTCAGGGTGTCCCTCTCCCTTGCACTCCATCTACAGAGTGAACAAGCTGGGGCTTTAGAAAAGGGGTGGGGTAGGGCAAGGGTATCTGGGTTTCAGGTAGATCCTGGATTGACTCAAATTCAAAAAGCAATCTTGTGCTTAAAAAGGTTGGAGACCACTGATGTAGCCCTTTCTGTGCTCCTTCCATTCCCCTCCAATATTTTCCTCCTTTTCTTACATCGCTTTAGCTTGTTTAATATTTTCCCCTCTTATTCATGCACTAAGGCTACAGCAATACTGCCTTTTTCTGTAGAAGAGTATATGCAAATCACGCTCCTACTTGCATATCATCTTCCGATTCTTTTTGGAGAAGAGGTTTTGCCCATAAAAAGCCCCCTCTTTCGCAAGATCCTGTAAACCTCGATTTTTGAGGAATAAGGGATCTTGTGAAAGAGGGTTTTTTCTGACAAATGGCCCTGCCTACACAGGGCCTTTATCTGGAAAACCTCTTCTGCAAAAAGAATCGGAAGAAAATATGCAACTGCAAGCGCAATTTTCATATCCTCTTCTGAAAAAAAAAAAGGCAGGTGTAGCCGTAGCTTTACATTTAGAATGGAACCTAACCTCTAAACTACTGGAGTAGCCCCTGCGTGTTGTTGGCCCATGAAAGAACAGCTTGAGGAACCATAATGATTTTCAGAACAAATCACTGAAAATGCTCTTGAAGACCTGAGTGATAATATAGTTTGAGAACAGAGAAGCATTCTCCAGCTACTTAGCCCAATCTTGAAATTGCTAGTTGCATATATACTTATTTCCATGTTTTGATACACTGAGATATCTACTCCTTTTTTCAGCTTCTTTTAAAAATATACTGTTGTTCTGCCAGTTACCAAAATGACAACACTGGAAAAAAATTCCTTAAAAAAAAAAAGAGGATGGCAGGAGTCTAAACTGTACATATGCAGCTAAACCACCAGATGGCGTGTCATCTGCCACATCTATAGTCACTTGTTATGAAATGACTGGTTAATCTTAATGAGTGAATAAATGTTTACCTGTGTTTACAATACACTTATAGCTTATGAACAATGACTGACAATTGTATCTCATAACTGCTATTCCTTGCTTATCTTCCTACAGGAATACTATAGTGTGGTTGTATTTTCTTTAAGGCTATATTAACTGATTTACATAAAATATGAACTGACCATTTAATATAAATTTATTGATGTGGAATTCTCTGTATGTTATTTAATCTTCAACTTATAAAATTGAAGTTTCATTATAAACCATTAGAACTGTTACCTTTATAATTTTATATATTTATCAATATGTAACTGTAGTCCTTTCTAAATGTTTAAAAATTAATTCATGCCTTTTTTGGATTTTTTTTTTAGTTTTTTAAACTAATAAGTCAGTCATTTCCCCAGTTACTCTTATTTCTGTCCATTGCCTCTTTCAAGTTCCCACCTCCACACAGTGAATATAAACTGTTTTTGAAAATGGTTTAAATTTGCACTAATATGGCATGGAAGACAGGTATATTATAATTTTTTTTAGGAGGAGGGGAGAAATGGAGCATTATTTTTACTGTATAATCACAGCACATCAGAAGTTCAGTTATCAATTGCCTGGAACAAGGTTTGTCGTCTTCTATAACCAAATTACCAGATGCAGTTTGCCCTCTAATTTGATTTTGGTTGTATGCAGTCATGGTTCCTTCTTTGTTAGTTTCCATTAAAGCAGCTGTATTTGTTACTTGCTAAAGAGATGCTGAATTTTGTTAAACTTTAACCTTTAGAGTTGGTCAGCATTAGCCACAATAGTTATTGCCATTTATTCATTTAATTCTAAGAATTAGAACAGGAAGTTATGCATTCATGGGCTGAAACTGATGCATAATGTTCTATGGTTACTGTCTCTTGAAAATATTACTTTCTCTTTAAATCTAAATCCATAATTAATACTTTAATTTCCATTAATACTCCAAATCTACCATCCTTTTGTTTGTGCAAAGTTGTACTTCCTATTTGTGGGGATGCTTCCTACCAGCTGTCTTTTTCTAATAATGGAAGGGAATTATGTAATACAGTGTACATCTGTATGGATTTTGTTGGAGACATTTAAGATGCTCTTTTCTGTACAGATACATTATTGAAATATAGGATCCAGTCACCTCTTACAGCATCTGTCCAACATAATGAAATTTACAATGCAGTTTACATTAGGAGAGAAATGTGATTATAAAAATTACATTTTTAAAACCTCTTGCATTGAACAAAGATTTTATTTTTTCTGTTTTTCAATAATATATAGTAAAATAAGTGAAGACCCAGGAGCTAGTTATTCTACTCTATTCTGCACTGGCAGTGACTCAGCTGGAGTACTGTGATCTGTTTTAGAGGACTGAATTTACAAAAGATAGACAAATTGGAGAGAGTCCAGAGAAGCACACCAAGCATGATCATTTAGAAAACATGTTTTCTGAGGGAAGATTAAAAGTGTATGTGTTTGAGAGAGAAAAAGATAACAGTCTTCATACAGATTAAGGGCTATTGTAAAATGGACAGCCTTTTCCACTGAAGATAGGGGAAAAAATTGGCTTAATCAGTATGAAAAGACGTTTAGATTTAGAGACTGGGGAAATTCCTAACAATAAGGATAGTTAAGTACTGGACCAGGCATTAATGGCTGTTGTGGCATTTCTGTCATTATAGGATTCTAAGAACAGGATAAACAAACATCTTAGATATACTTGGTCCTGCTTCAGTTGGTGGGCTGAACTTGGTGACCTCTTGCAATCCCTTACAGCCCTATATTTCTATTATTCAAGACAGAAGAAAATTATAACTAGACACTATTATAATACTTTTATTATGAGTACAGGTATCCATGACAAGCAGTAAGCTTTTCTTGAAAATGGTCACAACCAGCAACAGTAAAGTTTTGATAAAAGACAGATCAAGTTTTAAGTTCTGTAAAAATCTCCAAGATACTGAAAATAAACTTGACAGACTTTTTACAAATAATATTCTAAATGCCCCAAATACTTAACAGATTTCAAACATTTAATCAATGTTAAAGGGACACTGTCAAACTCTTAAGCTCAAAATCTGACACACACCCCCCAAAAAAAACCCATTACCTGAAGGCTTCCCCCTCTCAGACATTTTATATTCAGGATATTATATGCCTAGCAAGTTATTATAAATGAAAACAGGTGCTACTTTAAGACCCACAAAACTATGATTTAGTACTGCAACAGCACCAATATACTATCGATTGTCATGCCCAGACTTTTTTCTGGGTCCACTACTGATTTAGGAAAAATGTCCTTTAACTTAGTGGAAGAAAAAATCTGACAATTATAGATACCTATAGATCAGGGGTGGACAAGATCTGGCCCGACAAGTTATTTGATCTGGCCTGTGGCCTGCTCTGCCCTCAGATTAATCAAAGCCTGGGGGGCTGGGGAGTGTGCAAAGTCATTTGCTGTTCAAAGCGGCTGGTGGCTCCTTCCCCCGACAGGGGTGCAGAGTAAGGATGTTAACTAGCAGTCAATTGACTACTTGACTAGTGGATAGGCATTTCCTCATTCCACCTTTGAAACATACAAGAGCCCCCGGTGGGGCTCTTGTACATTTCAAAGGAGGAATGTGGAACTCCTCCTGTAGCCTGGGGCCAGGGGAAGTCCCACTAATGCTGGGCTGCATGCGGGTGTCAGCTTTGAAATACACAAGAGTCCCCAGTGGAGGCTCTTGTGCATTTCAAAGCAGCAGCACAGCATGGAGCCCGGGGTCAGCGAAGGACTCAAAGTCCCCCACTGACCCCGAGCTCCATGCTGCGCTGCTGCTTCGAAATGCCACATGCAGCCAGGGTCAGCTGCAGACTCTCCAGCTGATCCTGGGGTCTGGCGTGGCCTTTCCATGGAACCTGGGATCAGCTGTGTGGCTACCCCTTTGAAATGCTGAGGCAACATTCAAAGGGGTAGCCCTGCACAGCTGATCCCCAGCTCAGCTGTGAGGGGCTGCCCCTGAGCCCGGGATCAGTTGTGCGGAGCTGTCACTTTCAAGTACCCCCTCTTTCCACCCTTTGCTGCCTCTATCAGAGGCAGCAAGGGGAGAGGGAAATTGAATAGCTGACTATCCGATAAGCATTTATTTATCAGATAGTTGACTAGTCTTTAACAGCCCTAGTGCACAGTGCCTACAGACAGACACCAGCCATTTTGAACAGATTGGCCTGGGGGTGGGGGAGCACGTTCAGTCTCTTCCCCCTGCCAAGGGCGCACGGTAATTAGAGGGAACTGCCCCTTTCTGCCTGAGGCCTGCCCCTTCTTCCTGAGGCCTCACCCCTTCCAGGCGGCCCAGTCCATGACCACCTACTAAAATTCGTGAAGTGGCCCCCTACAAAAATGATTGCCTATTCCTGCTATAGATGCCCTCTAATGCTTGCAAAATACCCCTTGAGGTCAGAATTTAAGGACTCTATAACAGGAAATAATTGATGCTGGAACACTTTTTTTTTTTTTTTTTTAAACACAGAAGTATAAAACATGCCTTCTTGGCTATTATTGAATCAAGGAGTCCACAAGCCTCCTTTTTCAACAGCTGGTACAAGCCACCCAGACAATTCAATGTATACCCAAGCTTCTTTGGTAACTACAATATGCTTCTTCAGACATTTTGAATTTTCTGTCTCCCACAACAGTTCAACTGCCAACTTTTCAAAATAATATTTAGACCACAATGAACATGAGGACAAAAGCAGCCACCAGCTGAAAAGAGAAGAGGCCATGATCTGAAGTTTATTTTGTGGCCTTTACTGAGTAATATCTTTTTCAGGCCCACTTTTTGCCTCTTTTTTTTCTAGTATTGAAGAAAAGTAGTGACTGGGTTAAATAGCTTCATTTCTGACAGTTAGTTTAGAAGCAACTATCATACACAGTAAACATTTCTAAATAAATGTGTTTTGCCTTCATTAAACCCTATCTGCTGTGCTGCTTTTGAAGTAAAAAGCCATGGGAGGAGAGATGATTTACATAAGACCTTTACTTCCATAATTTTCGGCTAATAGTGCTTATTAAATTTGTGGTTTGCAATGGAAATAGTAATTCTTTCTCCCAACATGTATTTTAGGTCAGAAAGGCCATAGATATTTTCATGAGTGAAGCCCAAAATATAATGTGTTATGGTTCCATAAAACCATCTCTTCATATAAAGTAAACTGCAAACAGAGAAGCAGGTTAATTTTTCAACTCCACTTAAAAATAGTGGATAAAAGAAATTTGCGAAATTGAGAAAAAAATAAATACTTTATCAAACATGGTAGGAAGGTAAAATATATATAAAAATAGACAGTGTCCGTTTAAAACAGTATATATATTATATTTAAATTGTTAAATTATTCACATGTAAACTCACTCATTTAAAATATCACACACTTCAGTTTTTAATGAAGTGATAGTATATCTAAGCAATTTTCACATATGCATTTTATCTGGTTTTGGAACAACAGATACTCAAATGCAATGCACTTTTCCAAAAATCAATTTGTACTGAAGCAATTCATAAACAAATAATAAACAGTTCAAGTTACATTCATTTTAAAAGTAATAAACTAAATGTACTGGATACTGAATTCAGTGCCTATAATAATAGGACATTGGAATGTTACAGTTAGAGCACTAACAGCTAAATTACATTTCAGCCATTAAAAATACACTTTAAACACAAATTGAGCCTTAAATATAATACCATGTAACAAAAAGTTACGTTTCAGGCATGAATGTCAAAGTTTTCGTTTTGGCATATCACATGTATCCATCAGAATCATATAAAAATAAAACATTCCAAATTGCAGTCCAGTAGCATTCATAATCCATGTGCAAACATGCCTTAAAAAACCAAAACAATAGATGGATACATTCGCATAGCTGGAGCTTATTTTTATTTTGTAAGATAGTAAGCAAAATAAGAATCTTCTTGGCTCATTCATTATCAGTCTGCCTTTTCTTTAAGAACACACATCATTTGTTTGCTTTCTATCAATACTAAGTCATCAGCCATTGGGTTTTGTAATAGTTATTAACAAAATGAATTGACATTAAGATGTGACTCTAGAATTTGTCACACGAAGAGCTAAACTTGCAATGGACCTCATGGCACAGGTGGAAACTTTGTGACAAACTCCAGCATTTGAAATGTAGTTGGAAGCTAAACGATACAGCCTTTCAGCTCCAAAGGTGTTAAAATGCCCTGGGAGCACTTTCTCCACAAGACCTCTGTCCACTAATTCTATAAGACGCTCACAAGTTGTGACATAGTCACTTATCTTACTGTAGGGAAGCCAATCAATCATCGATCCATCATAAACAACATCTCCGCTGAACAATATCTTCTGATCTCTGTCATGTAAGCAAATACTTCCTCTTGAATGACCAGGCATATGCATTACAGTCAGCTGTCGGTCACCAAGGTTGATCACGTCCCCTACAGATTTAAATATATTAAGGAAAAATATGTATTTATTATTCATTTTAAGAAAAAAATCAACATGTATTCAGATGCCTGAGCAGGAAACAAATTATATATGCTTTAAAAAGACAAAACATTGTAAAGAAAATGTGGAATAAAACTTCATAGTTCAGATTACCTGTTTAAAAATTAAGAAATGTGGGCAGAAAGAAACATACATTCAAAAAACTCTTATTTCCCAACTTTGGTTCTCCTGCATTTTTAATACCAATGATTTTTGTGCTCTTATCAAAATGTGTTATTTAATTATCACTCTGGATTCAGCCTACCAGGTCCTCCCCAGCACCGTCTCAGACAGCGCTAGTCCCCACTGGCACCGGTGCCTCTGCTTTTGAAATGTACAAGAGCCTTTTGAAATGTACAAGAGCCTTTTGGGGCTCTTGTACACGGCCAAAGCAGAAATGGTACAGGGAGCATAGGGTAAGCAGGGACTCAAGTAGTCCTGGCTCTCTCCATGCTCTCTCCATGCCCTCCTTGCTGCCTATATGAGAAGCAGCAAGGAGGGCCGGGGGGAGCCAGTTCCCCCCACCACCATCTCAAGGTGCCACCTACTCCTCCCTCCCCCCATCCATCAGAGGCAGTAGGGCAGGAGATAGGGGACGCTGCTGGGAAGCAGCTGCTGTCTGCAGGAGTCCCAGTGGGGAGCCGGGCTCTTACTACATTTAAAATGCAGAGCAGCAGCACGGGTAGCTCCAGAGCCTGTTCCTGGAGCTACCTCCGCTGCGGCTCTGCACAGCAGTGCTTATCGACTTATTGTATCGACTATGCGATTAGCTAGATAATCACATTAACATACTTAATTCAAAACAGATTAAGAATTTTCCACTATCACCATAACTTTTGGTGAGGGAATAAAATAGCCATTGCATTGAAAGTTTCAAAAGAAGTTCAGGTTGAAGATGTTGAACAAAACAGACCATTCAGCTAATTCAGCATTTGAAAGTTGACGTTCTATTAATTTTTAATAAATCTAGTTAAAGTGTTACAGGTTTAACTACAAGAAAAGGGACTGATATGACTTATTTCAAATACCTCCCTATAAACTGCTGATTAAAAAGAGTGATATTAACTGATTCTAAAGAAAATTCCAGTACCTTCCACAGCCTAAAGGATAGTAATCATGATACAGGACCTTCAAACTGACAATGGTTAAGCTAATTTAATATAAGAAGGATGTGCCAGCATTCATTAGTTGGACTCTTTGGTTTGAAAAGGTTGCCAATTTCCACAAGCATTCAGGGTTTTTTTCTGTGGCCTGAGGTTTGCTCAGCATCCCCCCCTTCCACTCCCCCACACATGACCCCATCACTCTCCAGCCTTGAGCCCCCTCCCCAAGGCAGTATCCCCTTCTTTTCTCCCTCCTGCACCCAAATTCCCTCCCAGAGCTTGCATCTCTCATCCTTTCCAACATCCAAATCCCTCATTCCTGCCCCAGAGCCCACACCTCCTCTGTCAACCCAGTAAATGTGAGTAAGGGCTGGGCACCGGACATCAAATGATGGGACAGGGGAATGGGAGGAGGAATGGAGTGGGCAGGGCCTCAAGGAAGGGGTAGGGCCTCAGGGAAGGGATGGGGTAGATCCTAGCTTATCCTGACATTTAAAAAGTGGTCTCGTGTGTAAAAAGTTTGGAGACCACTGGTCTAGCAGTATTACCAACACTTCTACTGCTGACTGGACTCTTAGACATTTAGGGATAAATTAGAGCTAAATAACAGCACAGAACACTGACAGTCAGGACCAGTGGCTGTAAATAAGCTTTATGGAACTGTGAGAAACTTGGCTATATCCATAAGTGAGCATTCAACTAACTAAAATCATGCTGGACCAGAGAATGCCAGACTAGAGAGGTTGGACCTGTACCTTTTCCAGTGGTTCTGAAGAATGAATGAATCCCCAATCCTTCCCCTCTTTAGCCAGGCCTTCTTTCACCCATCCCCAATGCTGGTCAGCTGGAGGGAGGAACTTCTCCAACTTGAGGCAAAGTTAATGCCCCAATCTCCAATTTATCCTTTCACGGAGGAGATTCAATATGACAGGGCAAATATTCAAAGATATTTTAGTTCTCTCAAACAAACTTAATAAAGAAGACTCTTTAGTTGACAAAATGCAAAACAATTGGAAAATGCATGTAAAGTAAGACACACGAAATACAAATGAACCTAGATAGGAGTCAAATAAAATTAAATAATGGCTCTGGTAACCAGCTAGCACAGCAGAAATGAAGCTACAGGTATGTGCCTGTAATCAAGACTAAATTCCCACTAAACTGCAGGAGTACACAGAGGCTCAGGACTGCAGCGGAGAGATACTTTCCCCAAGCCTTGAAGCTGTCAGGGCTGGTGGAGAAGAGGAGGGCCCCTTGACACTGGCCCCAGTGCAGAAACCATAAATAAGACAGCTCTGGCTACTAGGTGGGGGACCACAGAACTCTGTATTCTTCTGCCTCTGCCCTGCTGGTGGGAACAACATATGCAGTGAACTGTAGAGCATCATGACCAACCACCACGATATCTTCTAGCCACTTCTGCAGCACAGCTCAGTGCCCCATGACAAGCAGACACCAGGCAGTCTGCTTTAGCACTGCTGCCCTGGTAATCCTAAGCCCCAACCCCTGCCCTGCCCTGAGCATCCACCAACACAGAGCCACCTCCTGCATCCCAAACCCCTCATCCCTGGCCTCACCCCAAAGCTCACACCTACAGCTCAGCCTGTACCCCTCCTGCACCCCAACCCCCAGTCCTGAGCTCCTGCCCAAACATGGAGCCCCACCCCCTGCATCCTAACCCCTTCAACTCCATTCCTTCCCTAGAGCCCACACTCCAGCCAAAGCACTCTTACTTACTCATGCACCCCCACCCTTAGGCCTGAGCCCCCTCCCACACTCAGAACTCCTTGGTCCCATTCCCTCCACATGAATTTTGTTATGTGCACCACTGTGAAGATGTGTTACATCACCTCCACATTAAGGATGTTAAAATGGTAATTTAACTAGTCGATAGGCATATTCCTCCTTTGAAATGCACAAAAATCCCCAGGGGAGCTGTTGTGCTTTTCAAAACGGAAGCACCTGCAGAGCCTGGGGTCAGCGGGGGACTCAGAGTCCCCCATTGACCCCCGGGCTCCATGCGGCTCTGCCGCTTTGAAATGCCACACAGCTCTGCTCAACATTTCAAAGTGGCAGCACTGCCATTTTGAAATAGAGGCAACAAAGAGGAGACACTATCTCAGTGGTCCCCAACGCGGTGCCCACGGGCGCCATGGCACCCACCGACAACCTGGACCGGCCCTGCCCCCGGCACATGGGAGGCGCCGGCCCTAGGCGCACGACACGCACCGGCGCTGGGTGCGCGGCACTCGGGTGGCTCCAGCCCCGGGGCACATGAGGGTGCTCAGGCGCGCAGTGTTCGAGCGGCGCCGGTGCCG